ATTATTACAGTTAAGATTTGTACTTAAAATACCAATTTTATTCCTGCTTAAGTCATTGGAAAAGAAATGAAAAGATTATAAGCATAATTTAAAGAATAAGTATTTCGATTGAAATACTAATGTAGAGGCGACGATGAAAAATCTACCCCGTAATGTGATTAGGTGACAATATGAACAATTAGTTAGATTTTAGTTCTTAAGAAAAAGAGAAGTACTAATTTATAGCTTTGTATAGTAGAATAAAATAATGAAAGTATTTTATGCTTTAAGTTGGTAATATTTGTATTTCTATCATATACGCAATTATTTTTTATGATAGAAAAGAGAACAGATTGGGATTGGTAGCAGAAAGCAACAGAAATATAGCCACACAAGTGGATCAAAAAGTTTTGCAAGAAAGAAAAAAAATAGTAAGTTTATGATTTTAAACTTATTCCAATGAATGAACTTTTTATGCCGTTAAAAGGTAAATATGCAAATTAACAGTTATTATTCTGTTTTAATAGTTTTGATAGTTTCAATACATGATATTAAACTTATCGAAAGTTTTGAACTTAGTTGACACGGATGATATGTATAAAAAAGTTATTGTTTACGTCTATTTAGGTAAAAATACAAATTTGTTGTTATTGTTCTATTTAAACAATTTGGATAGCTTCAATACTTGATATTAAACTTGTCTGATTGATTGAACTTGGTTTCTACAGTTGATATGGGTGAAAAAGTTGTCGTTTATATCTATTTGGGACTATTTTTGCCTTTAAAAGGTAAAAATACAAATTAAACTTTTGGATGGTTTTCAACAGTTTGAATGGCTTCAATCCATGATATTAAACTTGTCCAAATATTTAAATTTGATTGCCATGATCAATATGTGTGAAAGGCCAAAATGCTTTTATTGTTTGCATCTGTTTAAGACTATTGTGTTGTTAAGGGGACAAAATATAAATACATGATATTAAAATTATTTAAAATTTTTAAACTTGATTGACATGCTTAATATGCATGAATAAGTTACGGTTGATATGTATCCTACCAAATAACAGATATTTTTGTATAGGAGATTGAGATGGGCAGTAAAATTGAACGTGTGAAACTCTTTCGCTTAACAAACACATAAAAATATGAATCTTATATGAATGTTGAAACACAATAAATTATGATAATTTGTAACATCTATTTTAACAAAAAGTAAATATTTATTCTTTTTAACATATTATCAATTAATTATTAAATTTGATAGTTGTATATAACTAATTTACAGGAGAAAACGAAAGAAAAAATAGCTGCTAAGATTGAAATAACATCTAATGGTTCTTTCAACATGCAAAATTAAAAATTTGAATATTCATAGAAGTTGCTGAAAAAGAAAGGCATGGAAGGGTTCGAGGCCTTGGATTGGGTCCAACACCATCTACCTACTATGGATATAGCTCTAAGCAATTTACATTCTCAGCAAGTCAGTCTTTGTGAGACATTTCGATATTGAGAGAGAGTTGCAAACTATACAACAATATTTCCAGTAAATGAATATAGAAAGAGAATAAGAGCGTGCCAAAATTGAAAAAGAACGTGCTAGAATAAAGCAAAAGCGTGCAAAATTTCAATAGTTGCATGATCGATTCGATCATCTTATAAATTTTATGCAATAACAATTTTTAGAAACTGATCTCGATGGTCCACCTACTCAGGTATTATATTTAGTCAATATTTATATTTTTTAATATAAAAAAAGCTTACAATGAAGTGTTAAAAATTGTATGCTATTATTTAGTAGGTTTTTTAGCAAGCTAGTGACCAAGATGAAAAAATTCCTTTATTAATTGACAGCCTTCAAAATCTATGCAGTCATTAATTTCATATATTTTAATTTTTATTTTGTTAATGTATTCAAAAAATTTGAATGTTATTATACTAATTATTAAACTTTTGTGTTAATTAGATGCATATTTGAACGTTAATTAAGTTTATATTAATTTCAGTTTCTGAATTTAAGTTCGTTTATGAAAATAATAAATATTAACAAATTTTTTTTATTTTTTTAAAAAATATATTTCTTAATTCCATGGCATTTACGTTTAAAAATGTCACTAAATGAATAATTTAATGACGTTTGTACCATAAAACGTCACTAAAAATAACGACGCTCTTACTAAAAAATGTCGCTAAATTAGCGACTTTTTTTTATACAAACGCTACTAAAGTAACGATGTTTTTCTGATAAAAATATCATTAAATTAGCAGCGTCTCAAAGATACAAATGCTGTTAAAATAGCTGTATTTTTTATATACAAACGTCACTAATATAACAGTATTTTTCAGATACAAACGTCACTAATATAGTAACGTTTTATAGAAAACGTCGCTATTTTTTGCGACGCGTGTATAGCCGACACTCTGACTGATATTTTTCGTAAACGCTGCAAATCTTTTAGTGGCGTTTATAAACGCCGTTAAACTTTAAAAAAAAATGTCACTAAAAATCTAAACTATTGTAATGCACATAATCGTATTATTAAAAAAATCAATTATTTATTACATATCACATTTATGAATATATTAAAATAAATATTTATCATTTAATTACTGTATATGATATATAATAAATGATTGATATTTTTTAACAATACGATTATATAACATAATTTAAATGAAAATGATATATACTAACGTAAATTAACTCATCATACAATCTTTCTTATTGCAAAATGGTAAATGGAGAGGAAGTTGGTAAAAATTTTAAGCCATTAGTTAGCGGGAAAATAACTACTAATTATATTAAATTGTCAAACCAGGAAAGAATGGGACACATAATAATAATAATAATAATTAATTAATTAATTAGTGGGTGAAGCATCTTAGAAGGTACGGCATGGCATCACAGTTCACCTAATGTTAATTTTCGACCAAAGCCAAGCCATAAGAAGATTACGTAGATTCTAGATATTTAAAGAAGGAAGAAAATGCCAAGTCATGGATTACAATATGGGCAACCAAGTGACAACCGCTCATTCTGCCCTGGTCAAATATCATGGCATCACAAAATTGGCTACTTCACTGTTATCATAAATTTTATAGCATAATTCACAATTAAAAAACATTTAAATTACTAATGAGCTGTTAAGTTAGTGATTTTGAAATTAATTTTTGAAGATTTCAAATTTGGGTTTTAGTCATAATTTAATAATTTAAAAAGAAAAAAAAAATGAAAACACATTAGCAATTTTGTGGGTGCCAATTGTTTTGGGTCCATTCGTTTTTGGATGGGTGCTGTTTCCCATTAATTTAAGATACTATTCTTAGCCTGCAATATATCCCCAATCGTAAAGGATAGAATTAGTAGCAGCCGCATCATGATTCATGTCATGTCCCAATTCCACATTAATTTGGGTTTGCCAATTGAGATATATAGAAACGAAACTTTGAAGCACTTGCGGCTATGGTTGCAGCAACAAAAGACAGGTCTTAGTTGGATGGAACTACTCTCTGATTGATACAAAATCTGCCTTCATTTTTCAACCCAAAAATAGAGAGAGCCATGAAATAAGCAATGGGAGGCTGACGGATGCATGGGTCTTTATAAGTTGCCCATGTCCCTGAACATCGATCGATCAGCTGCATTTATAAACGGCTTAATTTAGTTGATAAAGGAAAGATTTGATTGCAACAGTCCAACATACGTTTATATGTTATATCCGAGATTATTAGAATTTGAAATTTGATTATTAAAATAAAAAATTTAATATCTTATCAATAAGTCAAAATGTAAGATAGATGGTCCTAATCCTTGATGATATTTCCAAAGTGTAAGATATATATTTATTAATGTTAATGTTTGCCAATTAAAAACTTGTTTTTGTTTGCAAATTAATAATGGAGAAATCAATGTTAACAATGTGTTTAATTGTAGAGCAGGTTTTATTATGACTCTTTTCATTTTTTTTTTGGCGAATTTTATTCGACGAATACTTAGAATTAGCTATGAACATTAATGTTGTCAAGTGTAGACTAGAATGAAATTGAGGAAAAGCTAAAGGAAGAAAACAACCAAGAATTCGATATGTAAATTGAAAAGTCAGCCACCTTTTATTTTCATAGTAAAAAAATTGAAATCTAGAACATGTTACCATCAGTAATGTATAGTTGAATAAGAAAAAAAAATCCTTACACATCCAGGCAACGAAGAGGCCTTTTCAATGTTTTACGTGTCTTGCTCAATATTGACAAGTAGCAAATTTATTTTCAATAATTAAAAAAACATTGGCTTCTCTTTCACCTTTTCTTCGATACGCATTTTAGGCATAAACTAATTAATTTGTACAATTTTTTTTGATAAATACGTGATCAATTAATAAAGTATTAAAATTTTTAATTTTTAATAATTTCGTATATTTAAAAAAAAAAATTCTTAGTGCAATTAGACGAGGAATGTATTGTCCAAACTTCAAAGCATGCTTAATTAATATGTTATTATTCCTTTAATGTATTTTTGGTAAAGCCTTTTTCTCCAATTTTGATTCATGTAGTCTCAGTTCTTGTAGGTAAGTGGGTATGACTTGACCTCTTCACTCAATTAAAAATGGCCAATTTCCTAATTGATATCCATATTGAAAAAGGAGGCTTCTAGCTGTTCTTTTACATTCCCTTATTTAATTTCTTTAATTTTCTTTTTACCTTTCTAATATTATATAAGAAAACTTTGAATAATAATGTTCTCAACAATACATCTACTAAAAGGGTTAAGGATTGACCAATCTTATGCAAGAGAAAGGTACTCGTTTTAAACAAAAGGTCCAATCTTTCTTTCAGCCGTTGACAGCAGAAAACACAAGCAAAATCTCTGCCATGTTGGCAAATTAATTATATGAACTATTGAAACATATAGTAATAGAAAATTCACTAGTATCTATGCCATAAATATATATATATATGTATGTATACATTACAGTACTGGTTTAACAACCAGAAAATTTCTCCTACATGAATGGAAGGATCAAACATTATATATTTATCCACTAAAACCTCCCTGAAGTTGAAAATGAAAAACTATCCGAACCTGATAGAAAGAACATGATACAAATGAAGAAACAAGTTTATGAATAAATAACTTTCGTGAAAACATGAAGAGAGGTCGATCGTCATGGCTTGGTCTTCTGGGTATAGATGTAATCAACGTGAGCTGCGAGTGTTCTTCTCATCAAGCACTCTTCTTCTTCTTCTTCTTTCTCAATTCCCTCGCAGCTATCCTCCACCTGAACCTTCTCTGCTTCGCTATCCTGGAATGTTTCACAAACAAATCATCAGAAAAAAAGAATCAAAAGAAGACCCTTTCCTAAAAATTTTTTTAAAGCAGATTCAACATCTGGAAGTTGACGTGTATATATATACCAGATGTTGAGTTCTGATTGGAGTATTAGCATATTGAAGAGCAGACGCAGGTCCTGGGCGGGCTGCAGCGGCACCTGATAATGTGAAGAAGAGGAGGAAGACGATCATGCAAAAGGCGCTGACCTTTGAACACATTTCTGCTTTCTTTTTTCTAGAGAGTTTTGGCAAAGAAAAGATGGCGTGAAACATGGACAGGAAACGACTGTCCGGGGGGGTCAATTTATACACTTTGTCAATATTCAAGGGCAAAAAAATAAATTAGAGATTGAAGGGCAAATGGGTAATTAAGTACGGTAGAAGATTCTCATATGTGCTTCATAAAATTAAATATACTATAATTAATCCAGAGAAGACATTAGCTCATCTTAATTATTAATTAATTAATTAATTAATGTATCCTTGAAATTTTTGCCAAAAGTAGTTCTAGAAAGTGGAATTTTCTTTTCTTCATAGAGATATATGATAATTTTTAAAAATATATAGTAATATGATATAAAAATAATAAAAAATATATAAATTTAAAATTTTAATAAAAATAAAAATAAATTGAATAAAAAAAAAATTTATATTATATTTTCATATGAATATAATTTGTGACACATCAATTTTCATATTTTACATATAATTAATATGAAATAGATAAATATAAATACAAAAATTATTAAATCTATATAAATTTGAATTAAACCAATAATAACCCTTTTTCTTCTCAACAGGATTACTAATCTTATTCTTTTCCTTCTATTTTCATGTTCTAGAATCGTTGTTTTATTTTTTGGAGGAAGTTTTCGGTTGAATTAATATTCGTAATATGCATCAGAATTATGGATTTAAATCGGCTAAAATTCTAAACCAGCTCTTGAACTTTCACTTTTTTAAAGTAATTTTTTTTTATATTTTTATTGTACTTTAATCTTTAATTTATATTTAAATAAATTTTTTATTTCAAATGAAAAGTTAATTTTTATTATAATTAAATCCATTTGGATTTTTTTTCCATATAAAAGCTTATGTGTTAAAAAATAAAAGATTTAAAATTTTTATTTATTTAAAAATTATTTTTTCAATTTTCAATTTTATCCACATAATCAAATTATATCAAAAATAAATTTTTTTCTTTAATTTCTCATTTTTTTCATGTCATCAAACTATACTAGCTATCAAATGAACTTAAAAAATTCAGTTAAATAAATAAAATAAATATTTACTTAAATATAAATTAAATATTAAAATTTTATTGAAATACAATAAAAATATAAAAAATTTACCTAAAAAGTATTAAAATTTGGGACTTTTCTTTGTTATTTTAATCATTTTATAGCTAATCAAACCTTGACCACATGATTTAAAAACATAGGGTAGCTTTAGAGACATGCTTTATTCAGCGTGCCTTCGCATTGTCAACTATCATTACGATAAGTATGTAATCAAAACATCTGCCGTGCATAATTATCGTTACACGTGAGGATGTGGACAGGCCCATTTATTAGAGGTAAAGACTAAAGGATACTTAGGATTTTAAAAATCGGAGAAAATTGTAGGTTAGAAAAAAATTACGAGTGTAATTTTTTTTAAGTAAATAAAATAGATAAGAATTTGGGGTTAACATATATATATTAGGAATTAAAAAAATAATAGGAGTTGATTATACTAATAATCTTAATTAATCCTTTGTTTAAGTTTTGATTAAGCTTAGCTTTATTTATATGGTTAATATGTGATTTAATTTTTAAATTACGTCACTTTTCATAATTTGATATTTATAGAGTAATTCATGATTAAATATTAAAATTTTGTTTTCATAAAACATTTTACTTTATATTAAAGATGGTAACTCAATTAGTTTTTGATGGATTTCAATTCGATTTGATCTTTTAAGATCGATTTTTTTTTTTAAATTAAATTTTAAGCTAGATCGGATCGGATAATAATAAGAAAAAGTTTATGTTGGATTAAGGTCAAATTTTAAGCAAATTTATCCCGCTTTAACCCGATATGCATAAAAATTTTTTAATTAATTATTTAAGTATATATATTTATATATTTATTTAATTTTATATTTATATTAAAAGTATTATTTTATATTTTAAAAAATATTATTTTATTAATTTTAGGTCGAATCAAATCGGATACGATTGGATTAGGTTGAGTTCAGGTATGAAAAAAAATAATAAAAAAATCATCAGATCTTATTAGATTCGAGTATTATAAATATAAAATCAAATCAAATTTAAAATAAGTAAAAACCTATCCCGATCCAACCCATTACCACCCATTCCATATACTAATTTTGTTAATGAAATTAACATGGCCAAAAACTAGTTAATAATATCATAACACATAATATATTTTTTATTTATAAATTATATTCGAATTTTGACAAATGATATTAATCAATGATACAAAATACTTAACGAAAATAAAATTCAAATATCTAATCGTGAATTTTTTTTATAAGTATTAACTCATAAAAAATAATAAAATTTATGACCAAAAAATATATTAAACTTTATTTAAAGTTTATTTGGATGGACGATGAGATTATTTTTTATGAGATTGAAAACAATAGTAGAAATGAGATTAATTACTATAACAATAAAATTAAAATTGTTAGTGAAATATGTGTTTAAATACAAAAGCAACGATAACAATGAGATGAATTGTAATAAGAAAAAAAATTATCATTAAAGACATTAAATATATTAACTAAAATTATATTAAAAAATTTTAAATTATTTAATATTTTAAAATTAATAAATAATTAATAAATTATTTTAAAATAAAATAATAGTTTTATTAATAAGTAAATTTAAATAATTTTTTAATTAATTAATTATATAATAATAAATTTTATTTTATATTAAACTAACAAAATTACTTTATAATTTTTAAATAAAAAACTTAAAATATGAGAAAAAAGTAAAAAAATAAAAAATAAAAAATATTTAAAAAAAATTAAAAGCTGTTAACTTAAAGAGAAAAAAGAAAAAAATTACGTTTGAGGTAACTGGAACTTTCAATTTCAGTGAACAAGTAACGAAAATTTTAATGTACCGTAATAATATTTTGATATCAAAACTGCCTTTGGTATAATTTTTTATAGCAACTACATCGTCACTTCGTCACAGAGGGTTCGATGCATTCCAAACGGGGCCTTATAGTATCATCTAGGGTCGGTAATCTAATCTGTTCTCAACGAGTTTTGATTTAACCTCATAAGATTGATTTTTTTTAAATTAATTTTGAGTCGAGTCGAATCAGATTGGATTCGGTTTTAAACAAATCTGATCCGATCCGATCCGATATTATATAAAAAAAAAATTTTTTATTAATTATTTAATTATATATATTTATATAATTATATATTTATATTTAAAAAATAATATTTTATATTTTAAAAAAATAATATTTTATTAATTTCGGGTTGAATTGGATCAAATTCAAATATAAAAAAAATAATTTGAATCCGATCAAATTTAAATTTAATGAATATAAAATTAAATCGAGTTCGAAACGAACAAAAAGCCGCCTTGTTGCCAAGTCTAATACCATCAACCCTATATTTTAGATGAAATTGGAATCTTTAGAATAAAAAAAGATCAAGTTACATGTGGTCCAAAAATATTGTTACTAATATAGTCATATATATTATATATTAATTCATTAGTGGAATAAAAAACCGTGATATTATACATGTACAAGATGCACAATTATCACAAGAGTGTAAGACAAACATTGAATCTAATAAATAGAGATTATAGAATCTCTAGAGCAACAAATAACTTACGTCCAACTTTTTTTTTTCCCAAGCTTTTTCCAGTTTAATTTGCCTTCCCTCAGCCTCCTGTTTTTCTTTTTTTACCCAAAAACTCAAAAGTGGAAATTTTTTTTTTTATAACAATGAATAACACCTAAGGAAAATGTAATTAACAACATAAATTGTCAATTACACAAAACCAACCAAGCTACATGCATGCTGGATAAGGATTCAACTAAAAGTGAAAAGAATTAAAGGATCTACTTAAATAAAAGCTTCTTGCTGCTTTCTAAGTGTTCTAGAGCACCATATATTTTGTAGTTTATTATTACTCTCAAGGCCAATCATAACCAATTAAAATAATAGGTACCTGCAGAAATTTGAGCAATACATTAAACTACATTGACAGTTAGATCCAACATTTGCAGACTACAAAAAGCTTCAAATGCATCTTTAGCCTCCTGGAAGAGAAAATAACTTTTGAAATGTAATGGAGTCAAGAATTGGAAAAGGAATATTAGCTGGAGGATACGAAAAATACTACTACTTGCTTGCTGGCATAAGTCAACGGTCTGTTCTTTTACAGTTTCCTGTAAAACAGAAATCACTTGTCATCTTGCCGGTTATGAATGTGCAGAAGTTATTGCTAGAAGGAAAGATAAATAAATCCATCACATATATCTGCATTTTGAGTTGAATCACCTTCTGCAGAACGAATCGTATCTAATTAAAAACTTTGCTGATATTATTCCTACAAAATTAAAGAGCAAAAAAGTATGCGAAGATGAAAAATGCAAAGCTGCAATAAGATCACTCAAAAACGGTTATGCTAACAATACATTGGTGCTGTAGCAGCATTAAACACTGTGACAGAAACTTCATAACTTTCTGAAACAGCAGCAGATGGTGTTATAGATGCTACCATGGATTAGATTGTTGACGAAATAATTGACTTAATCCGACAGTAAAATGGACAAATTAACGATAAGTAAAGAATTTAAGGGCCTGTTGCAGAACTTTCAAAAGTGAAACAGCCGCAGTTCGAGCCTTTATCCATTTCTTATATTAACTACTAAAACCTTGTATAGTTTAGAGCAGACTGTAGACACCAAAAAGATCACAAGGAAACGAGAACAATAAAAATAACTACATATCAACAAAGCAATCAAAGAGAAGCAAAGAGAAGAATTGTACACAATTCAAAAGAGTGATATTTGTCCCTTCTTTTATATTTCAGACCAATGTGGGTGGGGGTGGGGGTTATTAGCAAAAGAATTATACTATGTACCATTGTCCAAGTGAAAATAATACAGATTATATTGATAACTACTAATTCAAGGAGATGGAACCAAAACTGAGCTCCAATTGGTTAGGCACTAGTAGCATGCCGATTTGGCTGAGCAGTTGGCAATGAAACTGCAGGTGGT